TTGGTGAACTGGGGTTCCTGGAATCCATACTCAGACACTGTAGTCTTTATGGTGAAGAAGGGGGAAGGAGAAGCAGCTGGAAGATTTGAAGATGTTCCTTCAAGAGATTTTAACTGTAAGAGATTACAGAGTACAGAACCCATGGAGATGCCCCAGGAATGGTGTGCAAAGCCCATGGGGAGGGTGGCTGTTCCTAGCATCCCCTGGGGGCTTGAGAGGGCGGAGGCGACGCTCTCCAGCATGTGCTGTGGGGTGCGCTGGCCCGGTGTGCGGCTGTAAGCCCGCAGGTGGCGTCAGCGAGGTGACTGGACGCGAACGCGCGCGTCGGGGGCCCGCGACGCTCACGTTCTCCGCCGAGCCACGCGAGTGGAGCTGCGTCCTCCTGACTGGAGCACAGCGCGGCGATCCGAGCAGCGTCCAGCAGGTGGCGCGCGCGCTCCTCCGGCGGCGGAGGCTCCGCCGGCTGCCTCGTCCGTGATAACACCGTCGTTGCTATAGTCGAGCCGAGTAAATAGGAGACGCTTGCCCTCCTTTCTGCTTGGCACTGTCACACTGGCCCACGCAACTGGCTCTTCCCTTACATTTTGCGAGGGAATTTCTGCTAGGATCCGGACTGTCCCAGATGTCTTATCTGTCATTTTAGCAAAATGCAAGTTTAGCCGCGATTGCAGTTTTAACTTAGAAAAAAATGTAAAACAAAATTAAGAATGGGAGATACTTTTGGTTACTGTTTTCTCCAAGTTGCTTCTATGGAAAACGTGTTGTTGACAGTTCCTACAACCTGCTCTCCAGCCCAGCCTGCTACAGACAGTTGGCTTCTTGGAGCGTCTTCTTGTAACCTTCTTACTTCCCTACAATGTGCTTCGCAGAGATGGACACCGTGACTCCTGGCAAATGTGAGAGTAGTCACTGATCCAACCGTTGTATTTTCTTTCAACAGGTAGCAGTGGTTACTAGGATCCTAAACAAGTCACACCAAAGCTACCTCACCCAAAGACCTTATTGAGGGCGTGTAGGTTCTGAATTTCAGCAGAACACGCAATGCAAACCTTGCTATGCTATGATTGTGGATAAGAATTAAGGGCTGGGGATATAGCTCTGCAGTGTAAGTGCCTGTCTGGCAAGTGCAAGGTCCTGAGTTTGATCCCCAGTATTATGCAAAAAAAAAAAAAAATACTGTTCACTCTTTGAGATTGCACTGAGAAAGCTCAGTGCAACAAGCGCTTGCCTGGCAAGTGCAAGGTTTTGAGTTCAAGCACTGGTACCACAAAAAAAAAAAAAAAAAGAAAAAGCCTCAGAGAAATGTAGGCAGATGTATTTCTAAGTGGTTAAATAAATATATTCAGGGTATCTTCTGTAATCCCCGAACAAGGTGTTAACATTATTCTGTGGAGAAGGTTCTGGTAGTTTACTGTAGGTTTATTTTGCTAATGAATATTTTTCTTTTTGTCTGTGGCTCTTTTCTTTCTAATGCCTTTATTTACCTGTGGTGTTTGGAAGTCTATATAGAATGTTTTTGAAATTTTTCTCATGACTCAAATATGGGGGGTTAATAATTGACATTTTAGTGCATTAAAGGTTAAATATGTGGCACACACTTGTAATCCCAGCAGTCTTAGAAGCAAGAATTGTAAATTTTAGTCCAGCCAAGCAACTTAGCAATTTATTAAGATTCTGTCTCAAAATAAAAATTAAGAGCAGAGATGTAGCTCAGTGTGAAGGCCCTGGGTTCAGTCCCCAGCACCATACAGGAAAAATTAATTTTTTCCCAATTACATTGGTACAATAGAAATATATGAAAGGAGTTGTACATTAATATTTGAAAAATTAACTACAAATGTTTAGGAAGGGAAATCTGATTTAATAGTGGTTTATGTAGAAATAACCCAAGGATTTCAGTTGATCAAAACTCTGTGGCTACACAGTGAGACACAATCCACAATGCTAATGAAATTTTAGGGTTTGTTAATAAAATGGTTTAGAATACAAAACACTCAAGTCCCTACTGTGCATGGATGGGTCGAGCCAAGCCTGTGATTTCTCTTCGGATGCAGCCACTGTATGAAGACAGATGTCTAGAAGTGTGGAGGGCTCCGGAAGAGGCTCACCAGGAAAGAGTGATCGTGCGTGGGTCAGGGAGCGGGCTGGGGGGTTTGCCGATGGGGGTCAGAGCAGAGGAGGTGGAAGGGAGTCCCGAGGGTCTGCAGAGAATTTGAAGGTTACCAGCGTGGAAAGGCCTTAGACTTGCTCTCTGTGACCCCAGGGGTGCAGCTTGGTGTAAGCAAGATGTAGGCAGGTAGATTTGGGGTTCTCATCAGAGACCTTTCCAGTAATTCCCATCCTGAAATAGGCACTTCCTGTCTAGTAAGGAAGTGAGTTTCCCAGCACAGGACACCTTCAGAGACAGACTGAGGGCCCCTCCCTCCTCAGGGCCTCAAGGGGTGGTGTGGACCAGTGACCCCACCAGAGTTTCTTCTGTCGCATGTGCTGAGCATGAAAGATCCCTGTAGTACAGGAAGCTTTCAAGCAGCGTCTACCAAGTGAGTGCATGTTTTAAGGGTAAAATACCCAAACCTGAATAGAGAACTTTTGCACTTGGTGTGGTTTTGCGTAGTGGCCGATTTTGTTGCACCCGGGGCAGTGTTCCTCTAGAGTTGGGAGTGCGTCATGGTGGGGAGACCATGGGTCTCGGAACCACACCCAGTATGATATTTCCTAGAGAACTGGTTTATCTTTGTTTGCCCCGGCACAACTCAAGCTTAACCCTCTCCATCGGAAAGCGCTAATGAGCTTTCCTTGCCCTCAACTTACCCATTGCTATTTCTTTTGCAGGATAATCGTATCCACACATCCAAATACAACATTATCACCTTCCTGCCCATTAATTTATTTGAACAGTTCCAAAGAGTGGCAAATACCTATTTTCTTTTCCTCCTGATATTACAGGTAATGTCCTTATTTCCTCATGATCTGCTTGTTAAAAGTATTCTTGTAATTTGAAAACGTGTGTTAATTTACTTAGCTGAATGTTTATGACTAGGTAAAACCATTCTTATCAGATTTTTAATGTTATTTTTGCTGTTTCACTTCACAGATGTGGGAGGGTTAGGAATGGGTAAAATCCAGTGCATTAATCATTTTAAACACTGAAGTCATCTTAAAATGTAGCCTTGCACTTTATTTGAACCAAGCCAGAGTTTAATAATCACTGCTCACAGCCTCGTTCCTTCCTCTATCTGCCTTTCACGTTGACACTGTGAAGATCACAAAGGCAAAGAGTCTGAACTAAGCCTGAGAGGGCTGTGGAGCTTAATTTGTCAAATTTCATCTTAATTTCAGAACAGTGACACATTTCATGTGTCTATGAAATCAATTATGTATGTTGTATTTTATTTCACTGCAGGGTGACTGATTTTACAACTTTGAGTGGTTCGTTGGTAGTCAGTAATCCTTTCCTCTCCATCTGAGTAAAACTTGGGCTTCAAGAAAATTTCAGCTTTCACTGATATTTTGGGAAGGGGAAGTACATAAATCAAGAAAGATACACACATGTCATGTTGTCCAGTTATTTATTTTAGTAAATAACTAGTATTTATTTTAGATAATTTAATCAGGCCAAGATGGCAGTTTCAGGATGTGGTGGGCTGTGTGTTAATTATAAGAGGTAAGATGATAAATTAGACATTTGAGGTGTGAATTAACAGCTTTGAGTATTATTTTTTTAATTGACTAGCTATTTGTATTGAGGATCTTTAATTACAAGTAGCAGAGATTTAAATTAGCTTAAGTGAAAGGTGAATACATTCAAGGATATGTGGGGAGAGAGGGAGGGAGAGAGGGAGGGAGACAGACAGAGGTGGGGTGAGAAAGAGACAGACAGACAGAGACAGAGACTGAGAGAGAGATAGAGACAGACAGAGACAGAGATTGAGAGAGAGACAGAGACAGAGATAGAGACTGAGAGAGAGACAGAGAGAAACAGAGACAGAGAGATAGAGACAGAGAGAGACAGGAGAGAGGGAGGGAGGAGAGAGAGAGAGAGAGAGAGAGAGAGAGAGAGAGAGAGAGAGACTATTATCTTCTCTGTTTCTCTGTCAGAATCTTGGAATTTGCTCTAGTTGGCTCTATATCCTTATTTCTCACCTGATCATGTGGCTTAAGAGTCTGATGCAGTCATCGCTTTAACCCCGATTATATGGAGCCAGGACCAGTCAGCCTACTAATTTATAAGGACCTAAAGTAGAGGTAATACATTCTAAGAAATAAGGATGCAGTTGACAAGAACTGAAAGCTGATGAGGGAAACACCAAAACCAAGACAGAAAACAACAATAAAATGAGTGAACAACTTACTATTTGTTCAAGAAAAACTTAGACCACCCACTGCTTTTGCTTTGGGTTTCTTCATATAGTCCTTCACTTCATTCTAGAATTTTGAATTCATTACTCTAGTGGCTTTTTAACTTGTGGTCAAAGGGTCTTATTCATGTAATTTTATATTTGGAAGGCAGGTTTGTGGTAGCTTAGTTCCACTTCTTTTGTTGATGAAGAAATAAGACCCAGAGTTAGTGGCTATTAAGCTTCCGCCATGTTAAGGAGGAAGTAGAAGCAGAATCTAGTTTTTTTAGCTACAAGCTCAATGTTTTTGCTGAGTTCTCAGAGGCTTTCTTATTTTGCTCTTTTTATATTGAGTTAAAATTTTTATTTTTAAACAGTACATAACTGTATACAGATTAGGAGTTTTAAGCGATAATTTGATGCATGTAAACAGTATATAGTTATCAAGTTGAAATTAGCATCCTCATCTCTTTAAGTGTTATTAAGCATTTCACGTTGGGATGCTTTGACTCCTGTCTTCTAGTTATTTATAACATATAATAAATTTTGAACTATAGTCACCCTGATGTCTTATAAAACGTTACAACTTATTCCTCTTATCTAACTAAATAGGCTTTTTTTTTTTGGCGGAGCTGGGGATTGAACTCAGGCCCTTGCGCTTGCCAGGCATGCACTTATTCAACTGAGCTATCTCCCCAGCTCCCTGATAGGCTTTTGAGATTAAAAAAATCTTATTACAGGAGCTATGGTATAAAATTGATCTGTCTTCGAGTTATCTGGTGGGCTTGATCTCCATCTATGGACCTTCTCTACCCCACCCCTCCCTGCCTGAGAGTGCCGAAGCAGCTCCAAAGTGAACCTCATTGGGAGACTGCCTGCCTCAGAGGGTCATGTCACCTATCACCACGTCTTTCTGAAGTGATGGCTTTGGAGCTACAGGCACAAAGAAATAGGCTTTGGAGTCGAGACCTAGGTTTATATTTTAGCAGGATGTGTTCTTGGCCTGGTTTCTTGGTCTCTCAGATACTCCATTTATAAAATAAGATACAATACCAGGACTGCTATATTTTCTGACTTTGGGTCACCATTCACAGTGGATTCTGTTGTGAATGAAGGAGTTTTACACATGGAATACAGGTCCAACAGGCTTGTACCAAATAATTCTACCACAGACTCTAACTCACTGAACTTTTCCGAGGATCAAATGATGTAATACATGGAAAATAGCTGACTCTGTCTTGTGCAAGGTAGATGCTTGGAGAATCAAAGCTCTCCCTTTGAGAACAGGTGCAAAAAAGATTGGTAGAATTGTTAAGAGCTGAGATGAGGAGTTGGGGAGCCAGGTGACATTTAATGTCCTTGAGAAAGAGCGCCTTCTGTGAAAGATTTCTAGAGTCTTATTTGGCTTGCTTCCAAATTATTGTTTTTATTTTTTTGTCAGGTAGTTCGAAAATTGTAAGATGGTACTTTTCCTCCCTGTACCTTAGAACCCAGCACAAACCCTGAAATTATCGATGGGCACTGGATATTTACACAAGTTACTAGATGTAACCAACTCTATTAATGTCTGCCATGTCTCATACAATTGAACGACAAACTTCTGAGATTTAGTTTTCAATTTAAAAAGCCTTTGAACTCCTTGCAATGTTTGTTTCAGCTAATTCCAGAGATCTCCTCCCTGACTTGGTTTACCACCATCGTGCCTTTGGTCCTGGTGATAACCATGACTGCTGCGAAGGACGCCGCGGATGACTATGTGAGTATTCGCTGCTCAGTTCCCACTGTGGCTTTGCAGAAAGCTTTGCAGAGCGGACACCTACTCGGAATTTTAAACAAAGCTCTTTCTGGTGACTACTGTATACTGTATAATAGTCTTTCAGCATTTGCTTTGCTACCTGTTGATAGTGGTGTTGTAGAACCGGAGCCTGCTTAAGAGCAAGAGGCTTTCAGTAACTGGACTTAATACTTCCTTATTTTGTACAAGAGGAAACTAAAGCCCAAGAAGAGCCTGCCATTTGCTGATAATTGTGCAACCAATTCAAGGAAAACAAACTAGATTGGAAAAACAACCTGAGTTTACCCAGGGGGTATTGTTTATTCTTTATCGCATGCCTTAGTGTAGGTTTTGGGAATTGGTAACTATGTACCCCCTATTGTGACTAAGTCACTAGGAGTCACAAAATTAAAAGTTTCAAAAGTAAAAAAGAAAAAAGAAAAAAAGAAAAACACTAATGAGAATAAATGAAGAATTAGATGATAACGAACTTTGAATCTCATGTTACTCAAAGGATGGCCAATTCTAATCCTAATTAAAAAATTTAAGACTAATAACTTTTGGAGAAACCAAATATCTTAAGTCCAGACAAGTTACAGTCTGATCGTGGTTGCTTGCATGTGTTTTAGCCTCACTAATTATTTATATTGCAATGACATCTATCTACCTCTCAGGCCTCTCCTCCAAGTACATAGCCATGGATGGTCTTCTGTTGTCTATTTTAACCTATCTGTAAGCATACAGTTGGGGAAGGCTTTCTGAACAAAATGAAAATCTCTGCCTTTTAATTAGAGTCCTTAGCTCATCCATGTTTAATGTTATTATGGTGTTTAGGTTTGAATTTATTATCTTGTTTTCGATATATCCCACTTGTTCCTTGCTCAAGTTTTCTGCCTACATTTTAAATTGATTAGCTTTTGTGATTCAGTTTTATATTTGTTATTGGCGTAGAAGATAGAGTTTTCCTGTGGGTACTTAGGATTTAACTTGATGTAGTCCACATGGGGCAGTCTGGCTTCAGAGTCCTTGCCCATGTTTGCCACACTCTCCTGTGGCAAGCTGTATGGGGAATGGAAAAGTGAAACGCACACAGGAATGAGTTTTTTTTTTTTTTTAAAGTTTGGAACTCAAAAATGGGGACATGACCCCCCACCCAAGCCACACACTCACATAAAATAATGTTTCCATATCTGTTGCTCTACTGATAGAAGTTTACACAACAATGAAAGGCGGACTCAATTTGCTTGTAAAACCACAATATTTTAAATGATTTTCATGTTAACAAATGCTTTGTTTTCTTATTTTTACTCATACCTGTTCACGTCTATGTGCTACGCTGTATGATTGTACACAATGGGTGTAGTGTAATAAACAGGTTAGGCGGGGTTCCAGAAAGACGCAGGAAAGAGAAAGTGCAGTCCAAGCACTACCGCGTACATAGTGCATTGATCCAACATTCTGAGTTAAAAAAGAGAAAAAGCACCTAACCTTAGGATTGTAATCTGTGAAGTCCAAGATCATGTCTCTGCCACCACCCTGGTCACCTGTGCACGGAGGCTCACCGGTGAAACAGCTCTCTCTGCTTTAGCTCATCACTATTTTTTTTTTTTTTTCCAGAATTGGGGATTGAACTCAGGCTCTTGCGCTTGCCAGGCAAGTGCGTATTGTCCTGAGCCATCTCCCCGGCCTGCTTCTCACTATTTATGCTGCCCTCCTGTGTTACCCTCATCTTTAGGTCAGTTCATTACGATCTGATCTTGACAGATAAAAAATAATCATCCAAATGTCAGTTAATTTTTGTGTGTAGCAAAAGCTCAGAATCCTTCAATTCTTCTGAGAAATTTAAGATATTTGTATTCCTGGGGTAGACAATAAGAAATAGAGTTACTTGGGCATAAAATAAAAATCCTCACCAAACGTGGTTTACTGTTGTGTTCTGATTTTTATTTTAAATGCTCAGTGTTTCATAAGATGACTGTTAACAATTAGAATTTCAGGGGAATAAAAATACATGTTGTCACAAGTAATTTCTTGACTTCAAAGAAATGCATAAAACAGAATGAAAAATGTTCCCGGAGAATTCTGAGCACACCTGGGACAGAATTGGAAGCCCCTGTTGTTGGATAAGTCATCAAAATTAATGTGTGGTTTTCTCTGGGATGCTGTGGCGGAGTGAAGAGCATCTTGTCTTCTTAGAAGCAACTAAAAACATGTGAGAAGTGGAGCTGCAGGGCTTGCTGTGGCGGGATGTTGTCACCTGTGGTGTCCAGAGAGTTTGAGCGAGATGAGTGTCGGTTTAGATCTAGCACAAAGAGCTGGGTTCTAGGCAAGTACAAACTTGGGTCTGTGTTGGGCCAGCGGCAATAGCGTTCAAACAGATTACCTCAGAATCATTCCAGCCTTCCTATTTGAGCTGGTAGAATACGCTTTGTGGTTCTCCGTGACACTCTGATTTCTTTTTCAGTTTCGTCACAGAAATGACAATCAAGTGAACAATCGGCAGTCTGAAGTCCTCAGTGATGGCAAGTAAGAACAGCGTCCTTTGGGTCATTACCAAGATTGCTGGGGCTCAAACAGGTCGCGACCGCCCGCGGCTTCACTTATTAATTAAATGCATGTTTCTTTTCTCTTTCATTTCTTAAAAATTGGAATGTAGATCTCCTTGACGCATACTCAGCAAATACTTGTGCTGCACACTCAACTTAGCAGTTCACATTTCTTTGCAGTTTCTTTCGTGCCTGTCGTTGCCGCTTTCCATTTTCAGACCCCGTGCTGTTTAGAACTGGAACGTGGGCTGTGGTTTGCATACAGTAGCTGTGTCTTGGGTGCTGGAAGGTTTTCAGTGGGTGGCTTCCGAGCATATTGCTGGAGAGGCTTCTAGCACGCAGAATCTGCAGGGAGGGTAAGAATTTTGTATGCCCTGGAAAGTTTAATTGCATAGATTATGTACCGTGTTACAGATCTTTCATCACATTTAAGTTCATCCATCACTAAATAAATGTTCTCTGGGAGAGCAGTACGAGGGTCAGAAATGATTTAAAACACACATATTCACACATAACAGCAGAAACATTCCAGAAAGTTCAACAGAGGTAAGTTGCAAAACCCTCTTCCACAGCGTCTTGTCGTCCTCCCCGCCGCCTTGTTAAGAAGAAGCTTCCTGCTAACCGCATGTTGCAAGGTGAATTTGTAATGTACTTTTAATTTGTGATCTGGCAGCAAATCGTATCAATTACTGAGTCATTTAGATACTGTGAGGAATGTAACTTAAGGAAAAAAATAATACATTAACCACATGCAGGAAAAAGTCCGAATGATAAAGATATCAAGAGGAGTTAGGTGAAAGGATCGATTTCTTTGTGTCCCTAAAGCGCTGGCTGCCACTAATAATCACGGAGCCCCACTTTCTCCATTGGCTGATCTTAGCAAACAGCGTTCAGTGAAGGGAAAATGGTCTTACTCTAACATCACAGTTGTAGGGAGAGAGCCCTGGTGACCCGGCCCAGCCGTACAGGTGCCTGGAAGCATCCAGCTCAGTGCCGGGATTAGCAGGCTTCGAACTGCTGCCGCCGTAGTGTGGCATTGAAGGCATGGCCTGTGACCCAGAGTCAAGCACGAGATTTGTGCTGTGGTCCGGGTCAGCTTCCTGCCCTGGGGGAGCCTCGGGGCCTCCTGTGTGAAGGGGCTAGGAAGGGTCTCCTGCGCGGAAGGACCCGCGTGACTCGCCGGGGCATGCTGTTGCCCACGTTCCACGCTGAGCCTTTTTGTTTCCTTAGGAAGGGTCGACTCTTTAAAGAGAATCCGAGACGTGGCTGGTGCTGGTACTTGGGTCGTGTTAGGTTTCGGTGTTGGGGTGGTGGAATCGGCAGTACGTGCTCAGCGTGTGGAGGTGGGGCTGAACGGGGATTCGGGGGGTTCTGGGGGCTCAGACCAGAGGTGGTGCAGACAGCCCTCCTAGGGGCTGGTTTTACAGTGGTTGCTGGGCTGTGCTTAGAGATCCCTGTCTTCCTCGACTCACCCTGGCCCCCGTGTGTGTCCCTTCTCAAGGCTAGCACCTGCCACTCTTTCAGGGTGCTGCCCTGGCATCTTGAACCAACTGTTCCTCTGCGTAAGAAAATGGAAGAGGGCAGCCCTGCGCCCGGCAGGCCAAGCTCTGAGGGGGAAATTTCCGTCCTCCGTATCCCTGAGCTCAGGTGGAGGATGCAGCCCCGCGGCAAGCACAGCCTTGCTGGTCCTCTCTCAGCTGCTCCTCCTCCCAGCTACTCCTCCTCCTCCCAGCTGCTCCTCCTCCTCCTAGTTACTCCTCCTCTTCCCCCGCTACTTCCCAAAGTCCTTTCTTAACAAATTGCTTCTAATCTCAGATTTGCTTTTTGGGACGCATCTCAAAGATGGTGGGTCAAGCCTGACAATGCTAAGAGATAGTATTAAGCAAGGATTTTAGAGCTATCCTGGGCACCAGGAGGCCACTACCCTGGAGCAAACCTGGAGCTAGCAGGGCTCAGGTACAGCTGGGGCTGGCCATCCCCTTGGCACATGGGCACCCCAGGCGCAGGGAGCTTCGCTTGTGTGTTCTTGGCAGAAGGTCTTGGCTCAGGGTCCGCATGCAAAGGACAGGGGCTGGTAGCCTGTCCCAGAGGAGGACAGGGTCAGCACTGTGGAGAGAGTTCTTGAGGATAAGGCTGGGTTGAGAAAGGGAGCGAATTTGTCCAAAGGGAAGGAAAACCTGGGATGAAGGAAAGGACCAAAGAAAGAAAGGAAAAAGACCGATTTCTCCTGGTCTTTTGAAAGGCGCAGATAATGCTTAGACATTGCTTCCTTTTTATTCTTATGTTTTTGCTTTTTAATTTCTTCTAACTTTTTCACTGGTGTCTTGTTTCATTCTTTTAAAAACCCACTTCCCAGGTTTATATCTGGTAACCTAAACAACTAATTTGAAGACCATGCATTCAACCATCGTTGAATTCCTATTACTTTGTTTAATGGAATTTTGTATCATTTCTAATGCTTTTTTTACTTACTCACTTATTTATTTTTTACTATTTTATATTAACAATTTTTTAAAAAGAGAAAGGCTGGGGTGAGGGTACCAGGTACACGATCACTGTGTGATGTTGGGAATTTTTATCCCGGCTTCCAGGACCTGCTTGTCCTGTGCACAGAAGCAGAGAAGGTAGGCGGGCCTGTTTAGGTTCCACACACGTTCACTGTGTGTTGGTCTCAGGCTTCCCACTTCCCACTCATAAGCCCCGAGGTGTGGGTGATAGTGTCCCCATCTTAAAGTAAAGTGATTACAACTCAGAGAGGTAATGGCCAGCCCAGGTGCCAGGCAAGAGAGAGCCTCAGAGTTCTCCTGGCCACTCATGGTGGAGAGTGTGTGACTGTCCAGCTGTCCGCTTGTTCTGTAGCTGAAGAGTTTTGCATACAATTACATAAATGCAAACAGCATGACATAATAGGTACTTAATGCATATGCATAATACACACATGAAATAAACATACAGAGCTTCACTTTCAGCGCCTGGGGCACTCCTCCTCTGTACTGTTGGCCCCATGCTGCGAGACCTCTCTCTCCAAACCTTCCTTCGTTGGCTTTGTTCCTCATGTCTTCTCCACTTGGACAAATCTTCTGCATCTACACACTCTTGTAACATGTGAAAGTGCTTAAGAAATGGATGTTCCGTTAGCTGTGGATAAGATCTTTGATGACTTCAGTCTTAAAATCAAGTAGGGTTGGCATGGTTCCACCTTGCAGAGGCACATGTGACTGCTGGAGAGGAAGCCCGTGTTCCCTGCCCCAGGTCACGAAACGCTGTTTACGGGTTGAATCTGGGAACACCGCTAGGCACTAAAACATTTCGCAAGAGGACAATTCCTCCTGTGATACTAACCACCTTTCTTGTTCCCTTGTGACATTTAGTATTGCTTTTTGTTGTTTTTTGGAGAATGTCAGTGGAATTTGGAGAATTACATTGAATCTGTAGACTGCTTTTGGTAATATGGACATTTTAACCATACTAGTTCTGCCTACTCCTGAATGTGGGAGGAGGTCATTCCACCTTCGAGGGTCTTCTTTAATTTCTTTCTTCTGTGTTCTGTGTAGAGATCTTTCACCTGTTTCATTAGAAGGTTGATTCCTGAGGTCTTTTAAAAAAGCAATTTTGCATGGAGTTATTTACCTGATTTACTCTTTCAGCTGGTTCATTATCTGTGTAAAGAAAAGGTATTGATTTTTTTAAATGTTGATTCTATATCCTGGTACTTTGCTACATTTATCAGCTTGAAAAGGCTTTTATTGGGGTTTTTAGGGTTTTCTAAGTGTTCATACTGTCAGCAAATAACTCTAATTTGAATTCTTCTTTTTGTATTTGTATCTTCTTTATGTCTTTTTCATTTATTCTGGTTAAAACTTCAAGTATTAAAATAGCTTTACTTTTTATACTTCGTTTTTATGCTTTCTGCTGGATGGTTAAGACCAAGATAAAGCAAGACCTATATAACAAGAAATGTAACTTTTGTATTTGACAAGGTCAGTCAAATCCCCTGAGGATTTACCCTGAAACCCTGTACCCCAGTTTGTAGATCCTTTGTCAGTGTCAGCCATATGGATGAGTCACGGCCATTGCTTGACCAATTTG